CATATTCCTGCTTTGAAAGGCAAAGTGATTATAAAAATGTGAATGTAATTAAACAAATCACTGGCCTGGAAACTTTTTATTGCAATAGTCTTTATGTTTTACTACTATATTCACTTTTTGGAATGAATTTGCATGTAGGCTTAAAATTGTCTTGAAAAATCCCCTTAAAAAATTAATCATTTTTGGAACTGTACAACTGCATTTTCATTCATAGTGTTAAGTATGCAACTTGGTCCTTGGAGGTCATGTTATAAAGTCCAGTGTGCTGGATAATTTGTTATACAAAACAATAAAAAACCTTAAACTATCACAAAATATTACTGATGTTAACAGTCATGTATGTGTAACACAATCAGTGTACCTAGATTTTCCTGTTAATGGATGTTTATATTACCAACGTACAATCAGGTTTTAAAACTTAATACTTAAATTTCCATTCACTATGTAAACCTAAAAGCTCTAAAAGACCCTTTGAGTTCTGTACTTTAGAAACATTAGAACACTATTAAGGCATTATTTAAACAGACCCCAAGGAAAGTAACTAGTTATGCCTGAATTACAGAGCAAGTCATATTTTAAGGCAGTCAGAAGGTTCCGTTTTTCACTTTAAGGCTCTTGCATACTTAAGTTTATTCTATGTAGACATTATTCTGTGTAATTTGTTCATCAAATAGTTATAGAAATCAAAGCCTTTATATAAAGCAAATGGACAGTTTAGGACTAGATTATAGTATTCTACTCCCCACTGGTTTTTATAAAAGATGATTCTTACATCTCATCCTTTTGGAAATTTCATTATCAGAAGCTGGCAACAAAAGGAAAAACATGTAACTCACACACATGACAAAAGTTATGCCCAGTCATGCCATACCAAATATAGAGAGTTGATATTCAGAGTAACAGTGCAACAAAAACGCTTTTCCTTGATTACTACTTATTAATTGTGTAAGATTTTAAATCTAATTTAGCTATGTATGGATTCTACATCGTTTACATTACAAATAAAGCCAAGTTTCAGTATGTTTGTTGATATAATATTCCATCAGTTGTATCTGGTAATGATATGTAAAATCGCAGGGTTTTAATTTCATTCACTGTCCTTACCCACATACCCATTAAGTGAAACCAGCAGACATATAGCTAATTTACTATTTCCTTGGTTCAAGCATAGATTCTAATGTCTAAAAGTGCATAAATTTAAACATTTTAAAATGAAAAATATCATTTGTTGATAAAATTAACATGGTACACGGTATGGCTAAATAACATAGAACCAAAGGGAAAAATCGTTTTAGGATGAGAAAGTCAGCTTTTGTATATTTTTGTTGTATATATAAATTCATTCTCACTGAAAATCATCTTAATTTCCGCAATATAATTTTGTAAGATGTTCTCACTAGTTTGTTTCTTTCTACTACTTTCCAATATAACTTGGTATTTTCACGGTTTAAGAAAACGTGCCATTTATTAGAATTTTATTCAAACAGTATGCTTAACTACACGATTAGTTTTATACATGAAAAATATTACCTTCGAATTAAATTTTAACTTCATAATTTTGAAAAAAGCAAAAAAAAGTACCAGTTAAAAAAAAGCCCCTTGTAAATATGTTATTTATGAGACTTTTTATGCCACAAGCCATGTATCTCTGTATGTGCTCAGTGAAATATTTTGACAATAGTCTTTATAAAATTATCAAAGGCAAGCACTGAAAAATCTATTTTGTGAAGAAATAATCAGTTAATTATTTTTCTAAGAGTGCTTATATAGTAAGCACTTACATTTTCAACATAGCTAGATAACATTTATAATTACAAACAAAGGCTGAATAACTGATCTTAAAGGCCAACAGAATTTCTGCAAACATCTAATATAAAAGTTATATAATATAATTTGGTTTGGGGAAGAGACTGAATCAATCTATTTAATATTCCAAGAAGCCTGCCTATTAGTAGGTCGAAAAAAAAAAAACGATCCTATACTTGTATGAACCAAAAAGCAATCTGCAAAAGGTTCATCCCAAACCTATATGCATGTGACTTTGCTGTCATCCATTTTATTATCCAGATAGAGAAGGACTAGAGAAAAGAGGACAGAAATGTAAGAAAGGAATTTTAAACGAAAAAAAAAAAGGTAGAAAAGTAATCGGAATTCCAACAAATATGAGATGAGGAAAGAGACATCAAGGAAACACTAAATAAAATCCATTCAGTATATACAATTAATTTCATAGATTAACCTGTCACTTTTTTTTTCAAATTCTTTCTTGTGCACGTTTACACTGAATGCCATGTGACATTTCTCCAGAGGAGATACTGCCTTAACAATCACTTCAAACCTGTGGTATGTAAGACTAGAATTTTTCATTTTTGATCACCTAACATCATATATACCTAGTAGTATCAGTTACCAAGAAATTTGTTATTTGTGGCTACAATAGGTCAAAATGAAAGAGGTCCAACAAAACATTACAATGATCTGGCCTTTAGTTATTGTTTAGGGATAGCTTTACTGTACTTTTAAAGGTGTTTCTCATTTAATTGTAAGACCTTCAAATTTACTCAAGAATTCTACCTTATCTTTCCAAATTTCATTGTTTCTATAAAACCTAGAAAATAAGAAAAAAAATTCCCTGATGAAAATGGTATTTTACTATTTGTAGGTTTACTGGTTACTTTAAAAGATTAAGAGAATGTTTGTTGGCTGGGTGCAGTGGCTCGTGTCTCTAATCTCAGCACTTTAGGAGGCTGAGGCCAGCCTGGGCAATGTAATGAGACATTGTCTCTACAAAAATTTAAAAAAAAAAAAAAAAAAAAAAAAGCCAGCCTGATAGTGCACACTTGTGGTCCCGGCTACTTGGGAGGATCACTTGAGCCCGGGAGGTCAAGGCTGCAGTGAGCTGTGATCATGCCACTCCAGCCTGGGTGACAGAGTGAGCCTGTCTCAAATAAAAAAAAGTTTGGAAACAGCATTTCCTCACTTAAGAGTATGAACTTGTTTTTCTAGATCTATCCAAGAAGATCTTAGACTTGAAATACATTTTTTCTCTTTCTTCAATAGAGAATAATGACTTCTTGGGTAATACTTTAGCTGTGAAAATTTTCCTTCTAAATTTTTCCACCCGGAACAGGAATGTTTTAAAAAATTATTGGGCCTATTGAGCTATATTTCTAAAACATTGCTTTCAAAACACATATTAACAGGAATGTTTTTAACAAAAAAGAAAGAAGAATTCTAACTTGTATTGCGAGCCCTCTTCCCAGTTTCGATTTTTATATAAATATTAAATCACTGATTATTCTATGATCTAAGCACAGATATGTTACCTTTTAAAGATAAAAAAATCGAATCACTTAGGTTAAATTGGTTGTCTACAGTCACACAGTAAGTTAGATAAAAGCAAAGGAGTTTCCAAAGGGTAACACTAAATTCCATTCACTAGCATCTCGCCTTACTAACACTCTCATAAAATAGGTACTAAATAATGTAAGTATTAATAAATGGAATTTCCAAGAACTTTCAACTAATAAAGGGTGGGACTATAAGACTAGTTTGTTTTGCTAATTACAACTGTATCCTGGAACTATTTACATATTACCTAGGAAATAAAGTTTGTTTATTCTTGTAGGGTTTTTTTTTTAAAGCAGTATTTTCCCAAATATAAACTTAAGAGTAATCCTAAAAGTAGAATTCAGGAAATAAAAAACTTGTTTATCACACCAGTACATTTTATTCATAATGAGGTAAAGTTTTTATTTTTTTCTCTATATATGTAGATATATATAGCAACACAGGTTAATTGGGCTTGAAGATCACTATGAATTACAAAATTATACAAGTTCCCAATTCTACTTGCCTACTCCTAAAGCAATCATATATCTACACACTATTTCCTAATAACCAAACAAGGTGAAAGTCTTAAAAAATTCTGTTTCATCCTTTGCTTTTCTGCGACCATGTGTCCCATGTTGTGGGGAAAGAAATTCTGCCATAGAAATGAAGAGACCAAGATTCCTAGGTCGTACTACTTCAGAATCACACTCTGTGTTGGACCTCAGCTCTCTAACAAAAATTTAAAAATCAGCTTTTAGGTTTTAAGGTTTCTTTCAGCTCTAATGTGCATGATTTGAAAAGTTACTTTCTGTGGTAGCTTCTCCTACTTTTTCTTTCTTAAATGTTACCATAGTCCATTTAATTAGACCTACCTAAATATTTCAAAGAGGTCATATCCATCGAGTCTTGTATCCTTGATGGATTTAATATTAACTCATAGATATATTTGTCTAAAAGCATTATGGAAATAGGTAATATATTTTTGTGCCATATTGAACTGAAGGTAATACTTTTTTGTACTATAACATTTCTATTAAGAATAAAATGATCATGTTATAATTTTTAAGATCTTGGGTTTAAAAGAATTCAAGAACTATTATATAATTCTGTTAGATTCTTTAAACTTTAAATTCAATCTGAACATAATATTTTAATGTATCAAAAGTAGCTAATATGTTCAGTTCAATGCTTGACAGAGGGTTAAAAACATGAACATTATCAGAAGCAATGCGTATCTGAGTGGGGATGGGGGTGCTATGAGCTTTGCTGACCAAAAATATCTCAGGTAAATCACACTTAAGAACTGCTACCAGTCGCCTTGAAGGAATGGGTACGTATCAGAACCGGCATTAATATATCAAATAAATTTAAAAGGGAACATTTTCTTATTCTCAGAGCCCTAATTTCACATAAAACAGAAGAAAATATGTACAGAAATACTCATACTACTAAAGTCCCCCTGTCCCAAAAAAGATAAAATCTCTACCCCCAAGCACCTAAAAGGCTTATAATTTACATTAACTACAGTTTAACGTTTCACATAACAGCCTGAAGGATCTTATAAACCCTCAGTAAATCTTCAACTAATATTTAGCAAAGAAGTATGCAGACAAGTTTCATGTGTAAGCTATCTCAGACGACCATAATAAAATTATGAGCAAAGATAATGGGATTTCAACAGATTATTTTAATGTTAAACCTCACAATGAAAGGTACTTTCTCAAGAAAATAATGCACTTTAGTGTAACGAAAAGTTTAATACATAACAAATAATATTGAAAACAAAATTCCTAGTGACTGGTTAGCTGGTAATACGCTACTCAAAAATTGTCTTTCAAACCTAATGGACCTAGATTGCTTTATTATTTCTTGACATTATCAAATAATATTTTGCCACAAAATGAATAATGGGCAGAGAGGCCATGTATACAATTTAAAAATATTGACTAAAAAACCAGTTAAAACTAATTTAAACAAATTTTATTTTAAAAATAAGGAAAAAGCTAATCTGGTTATAGTTGAGATTTTAATTGCTATACTTTGTGAATGAGGGAGTTAAATGCTTGAAACATTTTATATTATTTTCACTTGTTTATAAAAAAAGTGTGAGACTACATCTGGCTATGTTGTTATAATTCAGAGGAAAAGCATTATCAAGTCACACCCCTTGCAACAATAAAATATAACAAAGCCAAAAAAACAAAAAAACAAAAAAAACAAAAAAGCAAACCAAATAGAATTCCTCAGCTAACACAAACTTGAGTCTATTCTCAGGGGTTGCCATGATGTTTCTGATTAATGGTAACGTATTCTACAAGTGCAAATAAAATATCTTTTTCATTGAATAAGAAAGCTGTTATTTGTTACCTCAGAAAACTCTGAAAAGAATTTGTAAAACTCATTCATAATTTAACCAAATGTCTTGGTTTTTTTTTTACCCCCTTTGTATAAAAGTTACAGATGAGTTTCATATTCCATCACAGTTACATGGTCTAGTGCATTTCGGAGTATTTGGACATTATCAAAGCTGTCCTTTCCCAATGAAAACATGTAAGAAAACATTAAGCACTTTGAAATAAGTGACATGATGTGGAATCACACTTTTTGCTCTTACCTCTTTTAAATACACATATATTATTTAACAAAGCAAAACTATTTTACAGTTTCTATTAATAAAAAGTTCTCTATTAGAGGAAACTACAGTATCCTGAAGCTATTTCCCCATCTTATTTTTTGTTCTTTTCTTTCTTTTTGGAAAGGTATCTTTCCATTAAGCACATACTATACCATCATCATTCATTTGATGGGGGTTTGCTGGCAAGTAGCTGTATATTTTTAGTGCGATCACTGATGGCAATGGATCTCTGGTTTGTGCTGCTCCTTATGTTTAAATCACATCTAATGTGAAATTTCGAATTACATCCAGAGCTCCAGTATCAAAGCCACACATATCCAACATGCCTCTATCATCTGGGTCTGCAATGGTAAAACCATTTGATGTCATTCCACAAACAATCAATTTAGCTGGAATATCCATTTTCTGTAGAAAAGACCGAAATACGTATTAAAAACATGTATGTAAGGAAAAGCAAAATACTTCCAAAATCAAAACACTTTAACATTTCTCTACCACAGGTTTTTGATTAAAAAGTCATTTTTTTGGGGGGGGGGGGGTGGCCATCTTTTAGGCTAGAATATGTGAGTTTTAAAAGAATGGACAAAAAAATTAACAATCTGCCTGAAATTTCTATTTCTCTCATCAACAACTTTACTTATTCTCTATGCTACAGAGTATATTACCGAGCAGCCTAGGCACTTTGTACTTAAAAAACCTGACAGGGTATTAAGGGTGCCAGATATTTTTATCAGCATATCAAATGCTGGGACAGAGTATATGAATATATATAAATATAAGGAAGTATCTCTCTGGGATTATCAACTTTTGGCTGATGACTTTGATATGTGTGATAATACGCACGTATCAACGTACCACGTAAGAACTTGTCTTCCACAGCTATATTTAAGGTTAAAATAATGGAGTTTCGAGAAAACCCAACTATCACTGAATGTATACTACGTAAGAAACCACAACGAACTCTTTAAATAATACATCTAACATGATTGTTAAAACAACTCTAACAGGTAAATTCTATTACCTTATTATGATGTAGATCAATTAAATAATTTGCTCAGGTCCACACAGAGTAAGAGAAAGACTCCGGAAGCACAAGCAGACAGTCTTTACATTCTATCCTGGTTGGGCAGTTCCTCATGGCTGTAATCTCAGTGGTTTTGGAGGCCAAGATAGGAGAACTGCTTGATCCCCGGATTTTCAACTTACAGTAAGCTACTATGATAGCACCACTGCACTCCAGCCTCGATGATGGAGACCACATCTCTTAAAAAAAAAATCTATTCCCTCACTTGCAGCTTTCAAACTTAAGCCTGCATCAGAATCCTCTGGAGGGCTTGTTAAAACACAGTCCCAACCTCAGAGTTTCTGATTCAGCAGGTCTCTGATGGGTCCTAGGAATTTGCATTTCTAATAAGGTCACAGGTGATGCTAAGACTGCAGTAGGGAAACCGCACTTTGAGAACCACTACTCTTCATCAACAAGTTCTATTTCTACTTCTAGTCACACTAGCCATATTTTAAGGGTTCAAAAGTCCTATGTGACTAGTAGCTACCCATATTGAAGAGTTGAAGATTTATGTCATTTCAGAAAGCTCAACTGGAGGATACCGATTAGAACACAGATACGTCCATAAAACGTAGAGCATAGATTATAGCCTTAATTTTATGTAATCCTTTTGCCCTTTTGAAAAACTCATTAACAATATTTTCAATTTTTCAAAGAGCACACTGAATTATTTTTAAAAACTTAACAGTTAAGGTAAAACAAATATTCTGGTTATTCAAAAATACCGTCTGCAAAGGATATTCTTAGTAATGCTTAGCAAGAGAAACTGGTTAAAGTAAATTATATATGTATAACCAATACTTATTTTAAGTACTGCTGAGTCTGTAACAAACATTGCCTCCTATACGAGATACAGAACTACTTGCAGTAACATTTTTTGAAAAACCCTAAGTGAATAAGAATCAACCTATGGCCAGGTGTGGTAGCTGATGCTGGTAATCCAAGCACTTTGGGAAGCGGAAGCCGAAGCTGGAGAATCGCTTGAGCCGAGTTTGAGACCAGCCCAGGCAACGTGGTGAAACCCCATCTCTACAGAAATTTAGCTAGATGTGATGGCATGCTCCTTTAGTCCCAGCTACTTGGGAAGCTGTGGTGGGAGAATCACTTGAGCCTGGGAGATTGAAGTTGCAGTGAGCTATGACTGAGCCACTGCATTCCAGCCTCAGCAACAGAGCAAGGTCTGTCTCAAAACAAAAACCAGCCAAGTATGAAAATATTATTTGGGTGAGGAACCATATTAGAATTTGTTTTACCTTTCGATAGTCCCTCAGAGCAATAGCAGGATGGACACTTCCAGCAAAGGTCTCATTATCAGTGAATACAATGAAGACATCAGCAGGTGTGTTTGTCTTCTGAGCCCAGATCATTGGAAGAGAGCAATCAGTTCCACCTGCTGGGATCTAGCTCAGAACGAAAGCATGAATAATAAAACAAATCCTTAAAAATACTAGTCTTTACAATATCATTTTGTTTAGCAACAATATATACAGCCTTCCCAAAGCCGGCATATATATTTTTTGTTTTTGTGCTTGTCATGAGAAAATTGAGACAAAAAAATTTTGTTCTCACAGATTAATACAATACATGACATCAAAATAAAATCATTATATATGTTATGTAAACTTAAAAAACACAGCTTCTGGGCTGGGTGCGGTGGCTCACACCTGTAATCCCAGCACTTTCAGAGGCTGAGGTGGGCAGATCATGAGGTCAGATCAAGACCATCCTGGCTAACATGATGAAACCCCATCTCTACTAAAATACAAAAAATTAGCTAGGTGTGGTGGCGCACACCTGTAGTCCCAGCTACTTGAGAGGCTGAAGCAGGGGAATTGCTTGAACCCGAGGCAGAGGCTGCAGTGAGCCAAGATTCCACCACTGCACTCCAACCTGGTGACAGGGTAAGACTCCGTCTTTAAAAACAAAACAAAACAAAACAAAAACAAACCCCACACACGCAGCTTCTTACCTGACTCATAGCCATTAAGACCTGTTGTAAGGTCATATCTGTAGTCACTGGACATGGTACCATTTCATCTGAAAAAGCAACTACGTAAGAATCTTTTTCTGTTCGTGTGACAACCTGAAAAATTCAATGGCAGTAATTTTCAGCAAATTTGAGGGGAAATATCGTATTTTGAATTTTATCCAACTTCACGTTTAAAAGAAACACTAAGGTAACTTTTTATCAGTGTGTTTTAGAACTATCCAGGAACAGTAGTACAGCTTTCAGAGTACCTTCACAAACAACTGGCTTTCACACTATCCTTTGAAGTACATACAGTAAATATTATTCTCATTTTATTAGATAAGAAATAAAGCCCCAGTAATGAAGCTAAAAAGTTTGCCTACGATTCATCTGTTTGTTATTCACTGGCAGTCAGGATAGAACTAAAGTCTCTAGACAATCCTGTTAGTTCCCAATCTTTTAAGCTTCATATCAGTAAATAAGCATTATCTTTAAAAAAATTTTGTTTTTTTGTTTTCATTTTCTTTAAGCATTATCTACTTCTTTAAAAAGCCATTAATATTTAATCTTTTGTTGTAGAAACTAAAATTTCTCTTCTGCCTGTTTTTTTTTTTTTTTTTTTTTTTTTGAGACGGAGTTTCGCTCTTGTTACCCAGGCTGGAGTGCAATGGCGCCATCTCGGCTCACCGCAACCTCCGCCTCCTGGGTTCAGGCAATTCTCCTGCCTCAGCCTCCTGAGTAGCTGGGATTACAGGCACGCACCACCATGCCCAGCTATTTTTTTTGTATTTTTAGTAGAGACGGGGTTTCACCATGTTGACCAGGATGGTCTCGCTCTCTTGACCTTGTGATCCACCCGCCTCGGCCTCCCAAAGTGCTGGGATTACAGGCTTGAGCCACCGCGCCCGGCCCCTGCCTGTTCTTTAGGCATACTTTTTCAACACACTTAACACTTTGGCTTTACACAAAAATGTGACAAGCTGAAATGACAGAAAAAAGTGAAAACATAATTCTTAATCATTATCCAACTTATAGTTGTGCTCTATAGTAAACATGTTTTTAGAGTGGCAAAATTGTCTTAGGTGTTCTCACCATGCACATTGCTGCAGCAACTGTACTAGCGTTGAGTATACTACCCAAAACTCTTTGGTTCATAGAAGCACTGACATCAACAGCTAGTAAGAAACGTTTTCCAGTTGGTTCAACTGTCTACAGCAAAAACAAAATAAAACAATCATTAAAAGCAATAACAAAAATTATAAGTAGACTCAATTTCTAAATCATATTTACTTGTCATCTTACATTAAAAAGACTCTAAGATAAAAGGCCTTCAGATTTTTGATATACCAATTGACAACTATTTTAAAATGCTCATCTGCTATAGCTGCTATGATTGAAAATTTAAAAATAATAAATAAAAATGCTTAGCTTTTAAAGGTAAAACAAAGGACATAACCTATTCAATAATTTTACTTAAAGAAGTTATCCTATTTTTAAAATCTTTACTCATTGAAGTAAAATCAGAATTTTTAGTAAGAAATTTTTATTGTGTTAAAATATAAATAACATTAATTTGACCTTTTTAACTATTTTTACAAATGTACAATTTTAAATGTACAATTCAGTGGCATTAAGCACGTTCACAATGTTGTGTAACTATCACCTCTATCTATTTCTAGAATGTTTTCATCATCCCAAATAGTACCTTTACCGATTAAATAATAACTCTCCATTCCCATGTCTCCCCCCCTCCCCCGGCAACTTCTATTCTATTTCTGTCTCTATAAATTTGCCTACTGTAGATACCTCAAATAATGGAATTCTACAATACTTGTCCTTGTTTGTGTGGCTTATTTTACATAGTATAATGTTTTCAAGGTTTATCCATGGTGTAGCACATATCAAACTTAATTCTTTTCTAAGGCTGAATAATATTCTATTGTATATACCACATTTTGTTTATCCATCTGCTGATGAACATCTGAGTATTTCATCAAAATCAGTTGTATTTCTATATACTACCAATGAACAATTCTAAAAAGAAAATTAAGAAAACGTTTGTTTACAGTAGCATCGAAAAGAATAAAAGAATACATTTAACTCTTGGCTACTGTGAATAATACTACTGTGAATATTGGTATACAAATAGCTGTTTGAATACCTATTTTAAATTTTTTTGGGTATATACCTAGAAATGGAATCGCTGGATGGTATGTTAAGTTTTATGTTTAACCTTTTGAGAACTGCCAAATTGTTTCCCGAAGAGGCTGCACTGTTTTACCATTTTACATTTCTACCAGAAATACATTAGAGTCCCAATTTCTCCACATCTTGCCCAATTCTTGTTTTCTGCTTTTTTTTATATTAGCTATCCAACTAGATGTGAAGTGGTATCATACTGTGGTTTGGATTTGCATTTCTCTGATTAATGATGTTTAGAGTATTTTTCATGTTTTTTTTTTTTTTTGAGACAGAGTTTCATTCTTTTCTTTTTTTTTGAGACGGAGTTTCGCTCGTTACCCAGGCTGGAGTGCAATGGCGCGATCTCGGCTCACCGCAACCTCCGCCTCCTGGGTTCAGGCAATTCTCCTGCCTCAGCCTCCTGAGTAGCTGGGATTACAGGCACGCGCCAACATGCCCAGCTAATTTTTTGTATTTTTAGTAAAGACGGGGTTTCACCATGTTGACCAGGATGGTCTCGATCTCTTGACCTCATGATCCACCCGCCTCGGCCTCCCAAAGTGCTAGGATTACAGGCGTGAGCCACCGCGCCCGGCCTGAGAGAGAGAGTTTCATTCTTGTTGCCCAGGTTGGAGTGCAATGGCACAATCTCAGCTCACTGGAACCTCCGCCCCCTGGGTTCAAGAGATTCTCCTGCCTCAGCCTCCTAAGTAGCTGAGATTACAGGTTCCCACAACCACACCCAAATAATTTTTTGTATTTTTTTTTGGGTAGAGATGGGGTTTCACCATGCTGGCTAGGCTGGTCTCGAATTCCTGACTTCAGGTGATCCACCCAACTCGGCCTCCCAAAGTGCTGGGAATACAGGTGTAAGCCACTGCGCCTGGCCCTTTTCATGTTCTTATTACTCATTTATGTATCATCAGAAAAATATCTATTCAAGTACTTTGCCCATTTTTAAATTGGGATGTTTGTACTTTTGCTGAATTTTAGGGGCTTTCAACATTCTGGGTATTAGGCCCTTATCAGATATATTATCTGCAAATATTTTATCCCATTGGGTAGATTATCTTTTAACTGTCTTAAAAGTATCCTTTAATACCCAAAAATTTTAAGTTTGATTATGTGCAATTTATTTTTTCTTTTACTGCCTGTGTTTTTGGTGTTTTCTAGGTTTAGTTTTGAATTTACGTCTCTGATCCACTTTGAACTAATTCTTGTATTTCATGTAAGATAATGGTCCAATTTCATTCTTTTGTATGTAGATATGCAGTTTTCCCAACACCATTTCTTGAAGATTATCCTTTCCCCATTGAATCATCTTGGCACTCTTACCAAAAGTCAACTGATACCAGAGTGCGGTGGCTCACGTCTATAATCCCAGCACTTTGGAAGGGCAAGGTGGGTGGATCACTTGAGGCAAGGAGTTTGAGACCAGCCTGGCCAACACAGTGAAACCCTGTCTCTACTAAAAATAGAATAAATTAGCTGAGTGTGGTGGTGCACACCCGTAATCCCAGCTACTTGGGAGGCTGAGGTATGATCACTTGAACCCAGGAGGTGGAGGTTGCAGTGAGCTGACACTGTATCACTGCACTCCAAACTGGGTGGCAGAGTGAGACTCTGTCTCAAAAAAAAAAAAAATTAATAAAAAGAGTCAAGTGAGCCGGGCACAGTGGCTCAAGCCTGTAATCCCAGCACTTTGGGAGGCTGAGGTGGGTGGATCACGGGGTCAAGAGATCGAGACCATCCTGGTCAACATGGTGAAACCCCGTCTCTACTAAAGATACAAAAAATTAGCTGGGCATGGTGGTGCGTGCCTGTAATCCCAGCTACTCAGGAGGCTGAGGCAGGAGAATTGCCTGAACCCAGGAGGCGGAGGTTGCAGTGAGCCGAGATCGCGCCATTGCACTCCAGCCTGGGTAACAAGAGCGAAACTCCGTCTCAAAAAAAAAAAAAAAAAAAAAAAGAGTCAAGTGAGCATATATGTAAGGTTTGATTTCTGGACTCTCTATTCAGTTTCACTGGTCTATATATTTATTCTTTTGCCACTGCCACACTGTTTTGATTACTACAGCTTTCTAGTAACTGAAAGCCAGAAGAGTGCGTCCTCCAGCTTTGTTCTTCCTTATAAGATTGTTCTGGCTATTTTGGGTCATTTGAAATTTCTTAGGAATTTTAGAATGGGTTTTTCTATTTCTGTAAAACATGCCATTGGGATTTTGAAAGGGACTGTATTAAATCTGTAGATTTACTGCTTTGGATAGTATTGCCATCTTAGTAACAATCTTAAGTCTTTCAATTGATAAAGACAGATTGTTTCTATTTATTCATAACTTAATTTCTTTTAGCAGTGTTTTGTGGTTCTTAAGAGTATAAGTCTTGCAGCTTCTTAAATTTACTCCTGTCTTTTATTGTAAATGGAAATGTCTTGATTTCTTTTTAGGATTGTTCATTGCTAGTACATTGAAATACAACTGATTTTTTTTTTTTTTTTTTTTTTTTTTTGAGACGCAGTTTCGCTCTTGTTACCCAGGCTGGAGTGCAATGGCGCCATCTCGGCTCACCGCAACCTCCGCCTCCTGGGTTCAAGCAATTCTCCTGCCTCAGCCTCCTGAGTAGCTGGGATTACAGGCACGTGCCACCATGCCCAGCTAATTTTTTGTATTTTTGGTAGAGACGGGGTTTCACCATGTTGACCAGCATGGTCTCGATCTCTTGACCCCGTGATCCACCCGCCTCGGCCTCCCAAAGTGCTGGGATTACAGGCTTGAGCCACCGCGCCCGGCCTTTACAACTGATTTTTTTATGTTTTGGTTTTATACTCTAACCTATGCTGAATTCATTTGTTAACTTTAGTAGTTTTGTGTGGGGTTTTTTTTAGGGTTTTCTAAACATGAGATCACGACATCTGAGGATAATTTTACTTCTTTCTTTCCAATTGTGATGTCTCTTATTATTTCATTTTCTAGCCTTACTACTAGAACTTCCAATACTATGTGGAATCAAAGTGGAAAAACTGGGCATCCTTGTGTTTTTCTTGATTTTAGGGAAAACTTTACAATCACTCACCATTATGACGTTAGCTATAGGGTATAAGCATTTTTTTTTAAATCTCTGGCCTTTATCATGATGAGGAAGTTCTTTCTACTCCCAGTTTATACAGTGGTTTTATTCTTTATCATGAAGGAATGCTGAAATTTGCCAATGCTTTTTCTGCATCAGTAAGATAACTATGTTGTTTTTGTCACTTCTGTTTTTTTTTTGAGACAGAGTTTCGCTCTCGTTACCCAGGCTGGAGTGCAATGGCGCGATCTCGGCTCACCGCAACCTCCGCCTCCTGGGTTCAGGCAATTCTCCTGCCTCAGCCTCCTGAGTAGCTGGGATTACAGGCACGCGCCACCACTCCCAGCTAATTTTTTGTATTTTTAGTAGAGACGGGGTTTCACCATGTTGACCAGGATGGTCCCGATCTCGACCTCGTGATCCAACCGCCTCGGCCTCCCAAAGTGCTGGGATTACAGGCTTGAGCCACGGTGCCTGGCCTTTGTCACTTAATTCTACTAATGTGATGTATTACATTGATTAGTTTTCATAGGTTGTACCATCCTTGCATGCTAGGGATAAGTATCATTTGGTTATGGTATATAACCCTTTTATTTTGCTGCTGAATTTGGTTGCTATTATTTTGTTATATAGCAAGATGTTTTAGCTTGTGTCTTTGATGTGAGATTTCCATTACTAAAAACTCATTTTTTCAATCAAGACTCATGAGCTCTATCTACCAATTAATGGGAAAAACAGAGGACCAAGTCAAAGAACCTGATAGGAATGCAAATTTCTAAAGTTAATGATATGGGTTGGATTTGTGTCTCCACACAAATCTTACGTTCAATTGTAATCCCCAGTGTTGAAGGTGGGACCTGGTGGGAGGTGAGTGGATCACGGGGGGCAGTTTCTAACAGTTTAGCACCACACCCCCACTTCTGCCATGATTGTTAATACGGTTTGGCTATGTCCCCACCCAAATCTCATCTTGAATTGTAGTTCCCATAATCCCCATGTGTCAAGGGTGGGACCAGGACCAGGTAGAGATAATTTAATCACAGGGGTGATTTCCCCTAAACTGTTCTTGTGATAGTGAATGAGTTCTCATGAGATCTGACAGTTTTTAAAGGAGCTTTTCTGCCTTTTGCTCGGCATTTCTTTCTGTCGACATGAAGAAGAATGTGTTTGCTTCCCCTTCTGCCATGACTGTAAGTTTCCCAAGACATCCTCAGAAGCAGGGCAGTAGCCACTGTGCTTCCTGTACAACCTGTAGAACCATGAGCCAATTAAACCTCTGTTCTTTATAAACTACTTAGTCTTGGTTACTTCTTTATAGCACTGAGAGAACAAATAGAATCAGTAACTTAAAAGTTACCAAAATGATCTTAGAATAACTAGTTGCTGCCCAAGGGTAAAGAGAAATACTTAAAAACTTATGATATTAATTATATACCCACTTCATATGAACTAAAGAAAAATGAATACCTAATTAAAAATGATTAAACTATTAATACTTCCTTTAAAATGTATTATTACAAAAGATATTAAACCTCGAGTCATTTGTTTTAAAACAAAAATCATATCACTACCTTAAATGTTTTATAAAAAGCAGCATCTAATGCTTTCAAAATTTCTTCATCAGGGCACCACTTCAATTTTCCTCTGAGCCCATGACCTGTCTTGTAAGTTTCTAATGCAATCAAAATATGAAATGGATGTATACGAGCCTAGAAACAAAAAAAAGGGCAGAAAGTATAAAGAAAATTTTAGCAAAAGATAGCGATTATGTATATTTGTTAGATTTTTGTTATTGTAGCCAACAATATTGTGTTATTGTATTTCATAAAAAAAGAGAAAAATGAAAATGTATTCAACTTACACTTAAGAGCCACAATACAATTCAATATGATAAATGTCTCAAAATACCTTAAAAATGCGCTGACTGCATTTCTAAAATTTAGGACCCACTTTTTCAGTTAGTAGTAGCTAAGAAAGAACACTGATAATGCTTACCTTTTTTAATAGTTTTTCATTACACAGTTTTTCACATACTAGAGATACTTCTGAATTTCCCGGTTCAAGCAGTGAATTAGCAGTCATCTTTCCTAGATTCCTTAGTAATGCAGTAAGAGGCATTTCTTGTAACAAAGCCTTCCATACCTATTGCAGTAACATAGGTAGAAATATCAGGAATTATGGGAAAACAAATCAGTATAACATATCTGTATCAATAAATATTCATAATATACTCTCTGAGGCTTTCATTTGGGGTGCAGAGTACTTTCAGAATGAAAACTTGTCTAAGTCAAAGGCTTATCAAATAAGCTAACTTGTTTTTTTATTAGAAAAAGGAAGTACAGTATATTTTATGAAGGAAATACATAGATGATTATTTTTTAACGAGCAAGGCAGTAGATTTTCTGGAGTAAAACTAACACAAATGCCACTTCCATTACATTGGACATCATGATAGGTGTTTTAAATAGACATTAATTTCAAGATACATTTTAAACAATTTCTTTTTTCAAAAGAATAGTTACCCCAAGTTTATCCTTTGAACACCTACAGTAAATTACTCAGGTTTAATAACATGCTGTAACATACAATTCACTCACCTCCTTAGACTTCAAGTGATTTGTTAAAAGATGTTCTCTAACTAATCTGTGTTCTTCTATTAGATGAATGACTTCCAGCTCATCTCTTGTGCGCTTCACTTTCTCTACAGCTTCCAGATATTTTAATAATTTTTCAGTCTCCACAGAGAGTGCTTTTTCTTTATACAATTCATGAACTTCTTTCCAGCCCTTTGTAATGTATTTGGTCACAATTGCAAGTCCTTTAACAAGATAAAGAATTGAAAAAGCATGCAGGATTATCAAGTAAAAATATAGCACGTTTTCCCAAAATGCACTGTATGATCAACATAACTAGATACACAAGAATTAACACCTTTACACTGGGATGCTGCTTTCCATGATAAAACAATTAAGCACACAGGTTGAATTAATTTTCTTATTCCATTATTACTATTTAAATATGAGACGCTGGAGTAAAAAAAACCTTCTGTATCCTGAGTCATTTTATTACAGAGGCTTTTCTTTTTTTTTTTTAAAGATACCAGCATTAGAAAGTTTTAGGTCCATAATCTCAGAACAATTCACAAGAGTACAGATCGATCTCAATTAATATTATATTAATTATATTCACTTGTCTCTCTTTGCTGTTGAATAAAATATACATATTTACAAACAGCAGAAATAAGAAGTGGACAGATAGGTAAGTTCTTTTACATTGTGTTTTAATAGATGAAAAGTATTACTGGTCCAAAAAAAAGGGAAAGACAGTATCTTTTTGATTCCTTCCACAATGTCTTCCAATCGAAGAAAGAGAAAACAGCTTTTGATTAGGGGTGAGAAAATCTGGGTTCTAGCCTATACTTTACCAATAAATGGTGATCTTTCTAGGTCTTAGTTTCACCACTTCTGTAAAACAGCAGGGACTGGATTACAAAATTAAGACGTCTATGAGGGAAGGGCATATCAAATAAATAAAGAAAACCAACACACTGAGAACAGGTGCCATGACTCACGCCTGTAATCCTCACACTTTGGGACGCCAAGGTGTCCTGCGGATCACCAGAGGTCTAGGGTTCGAGATCAGTATGCCCAACATGGTGAAACTCTGTCTCTACTAAAAATAAGAAAATTAGCTGGGCATCATGGCACATGCCTGTAATACCAGCTACTTGGGAAGCTAAGACAGGAGAATTATCTGAACCTAGGAGGCAGAGGTTGCAGTGGGCCAAGATCACGCCACTGTACTCCAGCCTGGGCGACAGAGTGAGACTCTTGTCTCAAAAAAAACCCACCATGGTGATGCAATAGAGAGTTGTTAGGATGTGGCGACTGAAGAGAGTGTGCCCTGATAAGTGCTGTAGCTATGTATCGACTAATTGCTACCAAAAGAAAAAAATTTACTTTCAAGCGAAGCCAGAATATAGGTTTTAATGTTTTCTGATTTTTAAAGGTGACAAAAAATTCATTTTTTTCCCTACAATATCATATAGGCCATATGAAACACATCTTTTTGCTGATTGAGCCTTTAATGTTATTTTTGAATTCTAATTTAAATAACTTGATGAAATGTTAATACTAACATGCAGGACCTTCTCAAGTATTGTGACTCTTATCATATTCCAAATTTTGGTACAAAATCATCTCAAATGAGTAAATATTGCATGTGCGTTTATCTTCTGTTTTGTTTTTCCAGTGAAAATAAAAATTGCTTAAAGCAGATCTGTCCTACCCAGTTCTGTAATTGTGCTGGCCAATTGTTGAGATGGGTCATGGAATGTGAAGCAAGAACCAGACTAAGAGAAAGACCACCTGTTACTAGTTAGATGCAGGACCTTCTGAAGTATTGTGACTCTTGCTATGTTCCAGATTTTGGTACAAATTCATCTAAAAACACCGTACCTGATTACTTAAATCACATTTTGACTTGTTTTATCTATTATAAATATACAGTATAATTTAGGCATTAAAAATATTAATTCTGTAGCTTAGAGTTCCAAATTTTTAAACTTTGAAACGCTAGGGATTCTCTATGTCCAACATGATATTGCTATTACTAACATGGTTTCAATGATGAGTTCTGTCCTCAACAACTTCAAATTGTAGAATCCTATGTGTGGAAGTAAGTTTACAGGACATCTACTAATTCCTCATTATACAGACCAAGAAAACAAAGCACAGAAAATTATTTTCTCAAGTTCAGAAACTAATTGGTCCAGTTAGAACTAGTCACAGGTGGTTTTTCTCTTAGTCTAGTTTTTGCTTCACACTTCCATGACCTATCTCAACAAACAAATAAATAAAGCTGGATGCCTACCCTAAGTCCTTCTTATGTTGATTAAATGTTTGGATCAAAAATTTAAACATAGAAAATAATATTTCTTAACCATTAAAATGTTAGGAAAAAACCATAGGTACATATTTTAGGCCAGAAAAGGCCTTTCTAATCCTAACACAAAACATAAACCTATGAAGATGTGGATACATTTGATTACATTAAAATTCCAAACTTTAATGTGCCAGAAATGTCCCCCCGGATAAAGAGAAAAAAAAAAAAAGAAGGAAAAATGCATGTAATGTATATAAATAATACATTAACTCCTGTAATATGAATCCCAAGTTCTTAGAACAGTGTCTATCCACAGTAGTGCTCAATAAATATTTGCTGAGGGCCAGGCATGGTGGTTCACACCTGCAGTCCAAGCACTTTGGGAGGCTGAAGCGGGTAGATAACCTGAAATCAGGAGTTTGAGATCAGCCTGACCAACATGGTGACACTCTGTCTCTACTAAAAATACAAAAAATTCGCTGGGCGTGGTGGTAGATGACTATAATCCCAGCTATTTGGGAGGCTGAGGCAGGAAAACTACTTGAACCCAGGAGGTGAAGGTTGCAGTGAGCCTAGATTGTGCCATTGCACTCCAGCCTGGGCAATGAAAGCAAAACTCCATCTCAAAATAAACAAACGAATAAAATAAATAAATATCTGTTGAATGAATAGTGACTACAATCAATAGTTAAAAGGAAAGTAACTAAGTGCATAAAAGGCTATGATATAATAGTATAAATTATTTTATATATATGCATATATGTATATTATATTATGTGTATATATATAAAATCAGCCCATGAAAAGATGAGCTTCTGTCCAAAAATGTAAATTCAAAGAACAAGATAGAATCTTTCACCACTCTACTGGAAGAGATTAAAAAATAATGACAACAGCCAGTGTTCAAATGTGGGTACACTGATCCCTTTCACATACTGTTTGTGGATTTAACTATTATGAAAGTATGTACTCTATGCAAGTGTTTTCACTGTAATCTTTTTGTAACAGTGTAAGAAACATGAAACAACTGTTGTCAAATAGAGACTAGCTAAATTATAGTCATACAACACTATATATGCAACTATTCCTACTGACCTGAAAAAAATAGCAATAATATACTTTTTACTGAAACACAGAAGGCACATAACAAAATTTAGTGAAACATAGTAATATATGTTTAGGAAGAATTTGGAGTAAATTACAATGTATCATATACTGCAAGAGTCCTCAACTACCAGGCTATGTACCGATTACCAGTCCAGGGCCTGTTAGGAACTGGGCCGTACGGCAGGAGATGAGAAGCATGTGAGTGAGATCCATGTCCTGTCAGATCAGCGGCTGGCCATTAGAGTCTGGCCATTAGAGTCTCGTAGGAGTGAGATCCCTACTGTGAACTGCATATGTGAGGGATCTAGGTGGCGTTCTCCTTACGTGAACCTAATGCCTGAGGTGGAACAGTTTCATTCTGAAACCACCCTACCCTCCCCACTGTTTGTCGAAAAATTTTCTTCCATAAAACCAGTCCCTGGTACCAAAATACTGGGGACTGCTGATATGCAGTGATTTCTTTTGAAGGGTAGGACTGCGTCATATGTTTCTGTATCATTCAACTATTTTAAAACACATAATCTAATAAAAAAATCAAAATAAAATGCTTGTACATATAAATATTTGCAATTTATTGTTTAATTTCATTTGAAAAATTCTACTTGCAGTCAAAAAATGTTAAGTTAAAAGTCACTGAAGAGATTCTGTGTATAAAGATATACGTGGAGGAAGAAAGAACCAACAATGTACTTCTATTATGTTAGGTGCTAGGACATTTAGTCACAATAAATGTAATAACTGTAAGCTTACTCTCCTTACCCTCCTTTTAATAGATGAAGGTACAGAAACTCAAGTTAAGTTATTTGGCTTAAGGCCACAGAACTGAAATGTGAATCCACCCTTCTGAGTGGATGTCTTTTCAAGTTTCACTTCTGGTGCCAAAAAAAAAAAAAAAAAAAAAAAAAAAAAAGTCAAATTTTGGACATGTTGATTTTTGTGGAAGTTCACACTTTAATCTTACTTCTGCCCGAGTTTTTCTTATTTCTTTCCTTAAAAGGACTAGTAATTACTATGAATCCAAGTAACTTCTCAAAAGTCTCTATCCATAGATAAGAAAAACTGCCCCAAGTTGCCATGTCCTCTGCCTGCCTGCCTGAAGACAATTCACCTCCTGAATTGTTACGTTCAGCACTAGCAGGTAACTGATATAGTGGACATTTAGGTTCCACAGAACATACATCCTTGGAAGACAAGATGGGGAGGGGAAAAAATAACAGGCTAGGGCGGTGGGTACAGCATGGCAATCTGCCACCCACGGGCAAGGAGCTGTTTTGCCTATTCCAACTTTTGATCTTGCCCATCCTGCTAACACAGTCCATAATCTCTTGGGTGAGCATTACAGTTAGGACACTGGCATTTTAAGATTCAGAATATTAACCTACAAGACTGCCATTTGATTCTTGATTATTAATGTCTGGATGACCTGTGGTAGGTGTGTAATTCCAGGAAGGCATTAAACATATTTGAATGAATGTATGTTTTGAGAATGAAAGGCAAAATATTACATGCTTGTCTTATATTAAATAAAAATGTGCTATTCATTGGATATCCCTTATCCACCCCTCTTCCCAATGATCTTATGCTTACCTTCACTGGAAGGTTTAAGATGTGACAATCTTAAGAGATCTCTGTGAGACCAGCCATTTCTCTGTTTATATTTTGTAACTGCCAGAGCAAGGGCCATGCCACCTTTCTCATTGTACCAGTCCGCTATAGCCTTCCGGAGGGCACGTCCCCACATGCCACATTTCATGCTTTCTTTCAGATCTTTCTTAAACTGGATAAAAGTAAAGAGATGGGTAGGAATGCGACAAACTTCAGAAACAGCTTTAAATGCTGCTTGTTTTGTGCTTATGTCAGAGCACTGGGAACAAATGGCAAGTGCAAAGAGCACAGGCTCTTGTTTTGTGGTTCTGCCTTCTTGACTGAATGACTTTATTTCTTGTATCACTTCACATCCTCTGCCATCTTCAATCAATCTAATTAAAGCTTCAGCATTTTCAAGGCCCAACTTCTGTTCTTTGATATAGTAAGTCCCACCTTCAGAACCAAAACATAAGAACCGGTGTAGACGATTCATGTCAGTGACTTGCCATACATATCCATCCTGCGAATTGGCTATCTGCTTCTCATTCAGTGGCTGCATTTGGTTTACAGATTCCTCCATTTTTCCTGTCTTTTAGGAAACCTATCAAAAAGGCAAAACGTTATTACAACTAGATGGGCACAGTAAAATTACAAAAGGAAAACAAAATGTAGGTTTATTTAAATGTTATTAATTTAAAAACATCTTTTTAAGTTCGATAGTTTTCCCTTACTACAAAATCAATATAAATGTCCTGAAGAAAAATCAGGAAAAATGAAAAAACATATTTGAGTATTTTGAAATGACCACTGGTAGTATCTTAAGTTTTTAAAGTGTTTTCGTTTCGCATTCATATTTTCATAATCTAAAGATACTAAGAGTCCTTCACAGCAAACAAACTAGATTATAGCCACTGTGGTGTGACAATCAGAAGCAAATGAGTCACATTTTTGAAATACAGTGTGCTGCTTCAGAGATTAAGCAGGTAGGTTAGCATGGCCTCTTGAGGCCCACACAGAGAATAAAAGAGAGGGCAGCAACAGCAGCTGACACTAAGAAAGATCGTACTCCCAGAAGAACTGTGTCAACATTTTTTGGCTGCCTACCTAACATTCATTCTTCCCCGTTCTCTCTTCCCTTCTTGGCCTCATATCCTTCAAAGGAGGCTAGGCCCTTTCCTAGCTCCAAGGGATGGATCTTGATGGTGCCAAGCCAGCGGTTCACAAACTCAGTGTACATCAAAATTACTTGAAGTACTAATTGAAACACAGATTGGTGGGTCAGCACCCTTTCAGGCACTGCCCAGTGTTTCTTTCATAATTCAGCAGGTTTGCAGTGAGGCCTAAGCGTGTATACTTATCACAAGTTCCCGGGTGATGCTGCTGCTGCTGGACCCAGGCCCAATAATCATGGTGCTCTCCTTGCCACATGACTGGTATAGGCAGTTGGGCATGTGTTATCACTCTGGCCAGTATGACATGATAAATCAGCTGAGAACACTTTTGAGATTTTCTTCTTAAAAGTGGGCTAAGGCTCTTAAAAAGAAATGTTCCCTGGTCGGGCGCGGTGGCTCACGCCTGTAATCCCAGCACTCTGGGAGGCCGAGGCGGGTGGATCACAAGGTCAAGAGATCGAGACCATCCTGGTCAACATGGTGAAACCCTGCCTCTACTAAAAATACAAAAAAACATTAGCTGGGCATGGTGGCGCGTGCCTATAATCCCAGCTACTCAGGAGGCTGAGGCAGGAGAATTGCCTGAACCCAGGAAGCGGAGGTTGCGGTGAGCCGAGATGGAGCCATTGCCCTCCAGCCTGAGTAGTAAGAGCGAAACCCCGTCTCGAAAAAAAAAAAAAAAGAAATGTTCCCTTTTCCCTTTTCTGCCTTCTGACATTTTCATTTGCAAGCGATGCCTGGAGTGTTAACAACTATCTTGAGACCTTGGGAGAAGCCAGTTTAAGAGGGGGCACACCAATACATACAGACGGCAGAACAGAGACAAGCAGAAAGAACCCGGGTCCTTAATATTACTGAGTCACCCAGAACTGCCCTGCTGATAAATTTATTATGTCATAAATGTAGCCTTATTGTTTAAACCATTTTTAGGTTTACTGTTTTATGTTATCTGTAACTACCCTCTCTCTACTGCTTCCCTTATCTGTAAAACTCCTAGAACGAGCTGTCAGCAAACAATCTCCCTCGTTATCCTTCTAATGGAGGCACCACAACTGTCACTTCTTCATCAGTCCACCTCTGTTCTTACTACAGTATCGCTGTTTACTGAGGTCCTTCCATCTGTCATGTTATTTCGGTGTACTGGGCTTCTGTCCATGGCAAACAAAACAGCACAACTAACAAAAACTTCAACCAGCATTTCCTGAATACATACTATGTATAAGATATGAAGGCGATTTCTCTGCCATTAAAGAGATTAAAAAAGAATTTGTTCTCCTGCTCTCAGGGAAACCACATTCATCTGCAGAGATAGAATCACAATGCAAAGTGTAATGAAGTGCTATAGTAGAAAAGTACTATGAGTGAGCAAAGGAGTATAGAATAATATTGTCTCAATTATCCAGAAAGATTTGTGCAGAGAAGGTGAACTGTGATTAAGTGTTGTAGTAGAAAAGTGAGTGAGCAAGGGAGAAAATAATACTGTCTAAATAATCCAGAAAGATTTGAGCAGAGAAGGCCAACAAAAAAACCTGATAAATTTAGGGAAGGCACTCCAGGAAGAGGCTTCTGAAATTCTGGTCTGTCTTTATATTCTAGAAAAGAAATTGTCTAAGCGTCCTGCAGAGCCATAAAGACGTGTTGACAGATAGGGTCATAATTTAAAGAGGAACACAAGGTAAAAGAGGTTTTTTTTTTTTAAGATCATCCTTACTTGAGCATATTTACATATTGTGAAGAAGCCTAAGGATTGAATCTTGGTGAATATTAACAAGTAAGAGCTAAAGAAAGAAAGGCCTTTTAAAGAGAGAGAGAAAAGGAGGTGCACAGAGTTGAAGAAAACCGAGAATACAATATAGAATATTTATAGAATATAAACAGAGAATATAGTATCATGGACCACAAGGAAGAGAACTTTAAGAAGTGAATGGTTGGTAACGTCAAATGGTCAGAGGACAAGTAAATAAATGGCTAAAAAATGACCACTGGATTTAGCAAACAGGAGTGACTAGTGAGAGCAACTGAAGTAGGTTGGTACAAGAAGTAGCTTGATTACAGTGAGATCAGGAGGATGTGCAGTGAGGAAGAAACTTCACAGCTAGACTACTCTTTTGTAGACACACACTTAAAAACTACGAAGGAAAGTAAGAGAGGGGATGGGACATAGAGAAAATCTTTTTACCTTTTTCAATGGGAAGATACTAAGGTTGAATGATTCAATTTGGAGAGTTGAAGATACAGAAGAGAAGGGGGATAACTGAAGGAATTAGATTCCTGAAAGAAATGAGACATAATGAGCTTAGAGCATCCAGGTTGAGACTGGCCTACTGACATCCTAACATGTATTTCCTTTATCTTTTAAGGGTAAAGAATATAGGTAAAGACAGATTTGAGGGAGTGAGGGATAAGGAAATTGAAGAATTCCCCTCTGACAGGAGATGTAGAATGCCAAATGGTTAAGTAGAGAGTTTGGTAGATGGGGAGGAATGAAAGACTTGGTCTCAGAGAAGGGAGCACATAGTGGTGTGGGGGGATAAGTGCAAGGGAGAATGGAGAGCCTCACATTTTGAATGTGACTGAGGGGGACAGTGATCTGAACTGTGCTAGGAATATTAGTGTCAATATTCCAAATAAGACTCTACATTAGTTGTTAGAAACAAATTAATACTTACTGAATACAGCACAGGCTGAAACTCCTGGATGCCTCTTCTCCTATTTATTATTATCCTCTTTTCGATTTGGCTTTTATCTCTACCTTTCGATCCAAAACACTTTAAAAAGACTAACATGCTTATCAAAGACTGACACTTTAATTGTGAATTCCAGTAGAAAATGTTATCTGTTTCGGTACATTGCAAAGACCTTGCTAGTCTCTCCCTTAGCTTTCATAAAAACGGTGGCACTCCAACTTATGTCCTTCTGCTTGTTAGTTATATGTTAGATGGGTAAATGCAAATGACATCTAATATCAAATAATTCTACTATACCACCTTTCCTGCACCAAGGCGCAGCTGCTGGGGTTTAAAAAGTCCCAAATTAAACCTCAAAATTTCCCGTCCCCTCGAATTCTTTTCCTTGTATTATTCATTGTGACCACATGCAGCTGCATTATTGGTTCCCTTGAGAGCAGAAACCAGGTCTTACCATTTTTCTCTCTTTTACTGCTTTTATGTAATTAGTAATACATACTTAAAGTCAAGTATCATTAAAGTTAACTTTCTGAACCATGTGCCAAAGAATTATGCATAACTGGTTTCTCTTTCCCATAGCATGTTTAATTTGAAAATAAAGCCTCACTATGTGTAATGCAAAATGTAATACAAGTCTTTACGGTAAATTCAGAATGAAATAATAAATGTACTATATGCAGGTAGTGAAAATATAATGAAGAAAAAATAAAGTGCTAAAGAAAAGTAATGAATACTGGGTAAAAATGTCATCTAAGAATAATATTTCTGTTTTTCTAATATATTTAATATTAGGTATTCAAGTACTTTTCTAGAGCAAGCAGCAAAATGAAGGCTATCTCAGAGGTAATCTGTAAGTGTAATCCTTTTAATCCCTATTACAAGAAATAAAGTTACTTATTCATGGACTCTTCCTTTTGTATATTATGATATAAATGACAACCCTGAGGACATACCCTTTCAATGTTTCTGCAGCAGAAACTGCTTAGCTTTTTCTGTGCTTCTGTGACTGTACTTTCCAGAGTGCAACACAAAACAGTTGAACAGATAACATTATTAGCAGCCAGGGCAACTTTCTACTTGATTGTATAAATTTACCAGGGTCATATTCATATTTTAAAAATGAAAGATGAAAAACAGAATTGTAACAAGTCCCAAGCTACTCTCCTTCTTTTCACTGAGTGTGATATACAAATACACTTAAAATTTGGCTAAGTGATGATGTGATACTGTGGCATCTTATAAGAAAGAGGATCTGGTCTTTGTACATAGTTCCCAGTAGAAAGTTTCAAAAAGCTGTGGAATTTCCCAAGAAACAGGTGTGTCTGTATTACATTAATAAGACGACATAGGCCCCTAGGTAGCTTCAGGATGGGGGCTAGTCACTAGATAGAACAACCATATGTTTAGAGGAATAAACTGGTCAGGACAATTTTCTACGAAAAGAGGAAGACTTAAGTTTAAGTTCAGTTATGTAGCTAATGATTTCATCAATCATGCCCATGTAATGAAACCTCATAAAAACTCTGTTCATCAATGCTCAGTGGAGCATCCTTGGTGAACAAACACTGATGTGCTGGGAAGGTGATATGCCCACATTTCACAAGGATGGCATGAAGTTCAGCATACTTCCCTTGCCCCAGACTTTGCCATCTGTGTTTACTTCCTGTTGGGCTGTTCCTGAGTTGTGTCCCTTATAATAAAACTGTAATTCCAAGTAGAGCACTTTCAGTGAGTTACGTGAGTCAATGTAGTGAATTATCAGCCTTGAGGGGATCATGGGAAGTCCTGAATTCATAGCTTGCAAGGCAGAAGTGTGAGTAGCCTGGGGACCCCACCTGCAGCTGGTGTCCAAATTAATGGCATTCTTAGTGGGGACCCTGCCTTTTAATTTATGGGATCTGATGCCAACCCTGGGTAGTGTCAGAACTAAACGGAAGTGGAGGACACCCACTTGGTGCTACAGAATTAAGTGTTGGAACACAGACACCAAAGGCAAAAGTGACCAAAAAAAAAAAAAAAAAAAAAAAAAAAAAGATTAACTGCACTTATCAAAATTTGAAACTTTTTTCCAAGGACACCATCAAGAAAGTGAAATGACAACCCAAGAACAAAGAAAATATTTGGAAATCATACATATGATAAGGGACTTGTATCTAGACTATATTAAGAACACTTAGAACTTAATAATAAAGTGATAAATAACCCAAGTAAAAATAGCCAAAAGATGTGAACAAATATTACTCCAAAGAAATAAAAATGTGCAAAGAATCTGAAAACGTGTTTTTCCAAAGATTATCAAATGGCCAATAAACAAATAAAAAGATGACGAACATCATTAGTCATCAGAGAAAAGCAAATCAAAACCACAAGATAGCACTTCACATCCACTAGGACAGCTATAATCAAAACAATAATATTAAGTGTTGGTGAGGATTTAGAGAAATTGAAATGCTCATATACTACTGCTGGGAATGTAAAATAATACAGCCACCTTGGAAAACAGTTTGGTAGTTTCTCAAAAGGTTAAATATAGTTATCATATGACCCAGGAATTCCACCACATACCTAAGAAAAATGAATACATGTATCTATACCAAAAGTTGTACACAGATGTTTTTTATCAACATTCAAAACGTAGAAGCAACATCGGTCAAAAAGCAGAAGCAACCCAAATGCCCATCAACTGATGAAGGGATGAAACAATATGGTATATCCATACAATGGACTATTATTAGACAACAAAAAGGGATGAAGCACAGACTGATACAAGACACAAGGTAAACAAACCTTGAAAACATTACCCCAAGTGAAAGAAGCCAGTCACAAAAGGCTACATACAATATTACAATTCCATTTCCATAAATTTTTCAGAGTAGGTAAATTCATAGAAATAAAAAGTACATTAGTCTAAGGTTGTCAGAGGTTATGGGGAGAGAAGACTGGGAAGTGACTGCTAATGGGTAGGGGATTTCTTTTTTTTTTTTTTTTTTTCCCTGCTCTTGTTACCCAGGCTGGAGTGCAATGGCACCATCTCGGCTCACTGCAACCTCTGCCTCCTGGGTTCAGGCAATTCTCCTGCCTCAGCCTCCTGAGTAGCTGGGATTACAGGCACGCGCCACCACGCCCAGCTAATTTTTTGTATTTTTAGAAGAGACGGGGTTTCACCGTGTTGACCAGGATAGTCTCCATCTCCTGACCTCGTGATCCACCCGCCTCGGCCTCCCAAAGTGCTGGGATTACAGGCTTGAGCCACTGCGCCCCACCATGGGTAGGGGATTTCTATGGGGTGATGAAAACGTTCTGAAATTAGTGGTGATGACTGTACAACTTTGAATATACTAGAAACCAATGCATTGGATACTTTAAAATAGTAAACATCATGTTCTGTGATTTATATTCTAAAGATCTATTATTGAAAATATAAAAATAAATTGGCTAGGTAAAATATATTTGGCAAGTTATTTAAATAACTTAAAATAACTCTGCTATTATCTATATCAGAATGGAGAACACCAATAAAATTGATTACATGAAAACAGTATTTAGCCCTGTAATTTTTGTATTTGACTTTCAAAAGCAATTTGAGATACACACAGACATATAATTTAATTTCTTCTTTCGCCAACTGCCATCATCTCCTGCCTCAAAGCATAAGCTCCATTATTAGTGGTTTAGAAGGCAATTGGGCAGTGAGTGAGGTCAGAGCCTGGTCATCAGTTAATCCATTCCTGGATAATCAAGTGTTGTAAATCCAGATTAACAACAAAAAAGTACAGTTAATTCTTTATATGGGCCTGATCTATCTATCTAGTGCTCTTAAAGCACATCATACAACTAATGTTGTATTAAATCTGTATAAATTATTGATAAGTTAAATATTACAATACTATAATATCAAAAGCATGGTCACATTTTAAATTAGTTTTATTTTATACATTGCCCATTTCTGTACTTTTAAAATTTATTTAGACCGCAAAATCAGGAAATGCTAATAACACACATTATATAATCACACTTCTTTTCATTTCACAATCATCAGAACTTACAACATATACAGTATCTTTTATCAGTACTAATATGTTATTTCCAAGGAATCTTATTTTTTCTTGAATTTACACATCTCGATATCTTTCCAGTCTCTTGATAATTTATTTGAAAATGCTACCTTTCATCCCAAGAAGTCACACATTTGCAGTTTATTCCTTTTTAAATGAAGTTAAAGCTGACACATCTATGCAAGAGTACAAGACAAATGTAAAGAGACATTACTACAAAAATGAGCCCATGATACAGGTACTTGAATCCACTGACAGATGTGATGCTATAAAAACTGATGAGGAAGGACTGTGGCAAAAATGACAGCACGCTAGTCTGAGGGGAGCTGCCTGATGGTTGCCATGTGGTATGAAACTAGCGGTACCAGATCTCCTCCTTCTCAAAGATCCAGAAATCCGGCTTTTTATGTGAACTCTCAGGATTAAATGTTAACATAATTAATTTTTACCCCCTTCTCTGCTTGCTTCTATATTGTTCCAAAGGCTAAATTTTCAGTTTGGTCTTTCTAAAATAGGTATCATGTTAACTAAGTTGAGTATCAAATAAATTTCAGTTTTGATGTATTTGTTTTGCACAAAAACATTTTCAAGTTCACAGCAATACTGCAGATTGAAAAAACAGCATATACCACTCTGATGCCATTTTGAATTTTTGTGCTGCTTCAACCTTTCCAATTAAGTATCTCAAGGGAACACACTGAAGGGCAGAGTTTCCTGAGATAAACTTCAAGAAACTTACAATTTTTTTTTAAAACCAACAGTTCATACAAATTTCGGCTACTACCCCACAACTGCTCGTGTTTTTTTTTTTTTTTTTTTTTTTTTTTGAAACGGAGTCTCGCTCTTGTTGCCCAGGCTGGAGTGCAATGGCGCGATCTCGGCTCACCGCAACCTCCGCCTCCTGGGCTCAGGCAATTCTCCTGCCTCAGCCTCCTGAGTAGCTGGGATTACAGGCATGTGCCACCATGCCCAGCTGATTTTTTTGTATTTTTAGTAGAGACGGGGTTTCACCATGTTGACCAGGATGGTCTCGATCTCTCGACCTCGTGATCCACCCGCCTCGGCCTCCCAGAGTGCCGGGATGACAGGCGCGAGCCACCGCGCCCGGCCAAGAAGTCAGTCTTATCCACTAAAACATTTTTTTTCTCTTCTGGAAGCCAAAGATCTTTCTTGGGACATGCAGCTTTTAAGGAGTCAACAGACTCGCAGAGACTTTACTCTTAGGACGCCAGTACTCCGCGGGAGCCTGCGGCTTGAGGGCCACCGAGCACACACAGCCGTACCTGGTCCCGGGCATCACCCCGGGGTGGCCCCATCCCGCACGTTCTCAGGCTCACCCGCGGCCGCGGCGTTCAGCCTCGTGTTCCGCCCCCGGACGGCGGGACAGGCCTTTCTCCTCCGCCTCGTCCTCCCACAAAGAGCCCGCTTCCAAACCCGGACCCGGGCGGCGCCCGTCCGCGCAGAGGCCGCGGGAGGAGGAGACGGAGGCGGAGGCACGCAGGCCCCACGGCGCCGGCCCGCCCTCGGGAACGCGCCGGCCGGGCCCAGCGAGGGTCCGCGGCCGAGGCGGGCAGCGCGGCGGGGCAGAGCCAGGCTCTCGCGGCGTCTGCCCGGCCTCAGCCCCCGGGCGGCCGCGTGAGGGACACGGAGGACCGGTCAGACCCCGCGCGTCCCTGGGCCGCTGCGACCGCACAACACGCTCCCGGCCGGGCTCCCGCGGCGTCCTCACCTGTGCCTGGCGGCCGGGGCCCCCGGACCTGCGGCGCCGTCAGCAGAAGCCCCGCGCGGCGCCGGGAGGCGACGGGAGACAACAGCTCCCCGCCGCCGGGCCTTCCAGCTTCCGGTCCCGGGAAGGAGCCCCGCCCCTCTTCCTTGGCCCCGCCCCCCGCGGGGCGAGGATCCCGGATGTTGCCGCCCGCGGCGCGCCGGCTCCCCGCCCCTTCTCTCAGGCCGCAGCCCTTCCGACTGCGCTACGGGTCCTGCGAGGCCTGGGAAGGGTGTCGCTGTCTCTGGGGTGGCTAGAGCGTCCTCCCGCGCGGCGCCGCGCTGCAGGTGACGGCGCCCGGAGGCTGTCGGGAAGGAGGCGGGGTGACGTGGGGTTGACGAGCCCGGCGGCGGGTTTGCGGAGCGCTGTGGCCGGCGGCAGCTGGTGCGGGGGGCGGCCGCGAGCGAGAGGCGGATCGGGGCGGTGCGTGGCCGGGGCCATGACGGGCAATGCCGGGGAGTGGTGCCTCATGGAAAGCGACCCCGGGGTCTTCACCGAGCTCATTAAAGGATTCGGTGAGAACCGAGGGGACCGTCCCGGGCCTGGGGTCACGGGAGGAGGCCCGGGCTGGGCATGGAGTGGCTCCTGCGGCCGCCGCCCCGCATCCGAAGAGGGGGACGCGAGGGGCCCGGGGTCGGGGGGGCGCCCTCAGCCCCGGGCGGGCGCGCGTCCGCAGCAGTGTGAGGAGCCGCAGCGCCCGGGCGGGGAGGGCGCCCGTCTTCGCCCGCGGTGTTCCCGGGACCCGGCGCCCACGGCCTGCCATTGGCCGGGGTGCCCCCCGCCGAGCCCGCGAGCACACGTGGCCCTCCCCGCCGCCCCCGCCGCCCCCGCCGCGGCGCGCACCTGCTCCCGGGCCGGGCGTGCCTTCTCGGGGTTGGGGTGTCTGCGGCCCCAGCGCCCGGGAGCGCGAGGTTCCGCTTCCTGAAGGCAGAGCGCCCTGCCGTGCGAATGGCCGCCCCGCCGGTTCCCCCCGCCGCGCTGTGCGGGCTTCGCCGCGGGGAGTTGTCCTGAGCTGGGGTTCTAGGGCAGAGGCCACGTGCTCTCCGCAGAGCTGCTCCCGGGCTGCGTGCAGTGCCTTCTGCCCGCGGTCAACGCGTTCGACTTCTCGTCCTTCCCTGTTTCGGTCCCGGTCTTTTCACAGTACATTTTGCTTGCTTGTTTGTTTTGTTTTTGAGACGGAGTCTCACTCTGTCACCCAGGCGGGAGTGCAGTGGCGCGATCTCGGCTCGCGGCAACCTCCGCCTCCCGGGTCTAAGCGATTCTCCTGCCTCAGCCTCCCGAGTAGCTGGGACTACAGGCGCCCACCACCACGCCTGGCTCATTTTTGCATTTTTAGTAAAGACAGGGTTTCACCATGTTGGCCAGGATGGTCTCGATCTTCTGACCTCGTGATCTGCCCGCCTGGGCCTCCCAAAATGTTGGGATTACAGGCTCACGTGAGCCGCTTGCCTGGCTGGACAGTACGTTTTTATCTGTACGTTTCCCAAGTATTATTGATTCTATGATGTTAAAACTTGTACGCATGATGACAAACGTTGGTATAGATATTGCCTATTGTACATAGCTTAATATTTGGAATGTCATTTATCAAGCATGTGGTGTTCATCTATATCTCAGGCACAGTGGTAAGGATTGGGAATTTTTCATATGAATAAACCATAACTGCTGTTTCGAAGAACTGACAAACTACAATATGGTGTATGAATTGCCATGTTCGAGTATGTACAAAATGTTGTCAGTACACAGATCATGGAGGAGCCCAGGCAGAAGGAAAGGCGTAAACAGTAGTGATGGGCTTAGCGAACAGCTAGCAAAGTGACTAGAACATAATGTAACAGACTGGAGGAATATTTATTTGGATCTGAAGCTGAAAAGATAAACTGAGGCCAGATTGCATGCCATGTTTTATAGTGCCCTGTAGTCACTGGGGATTTACCTATCAAATGTATTTTAATGCTGAAATGCCCTTCTTTCATAATTAAGATTTGCTGTGCTTGTAGTGTGCAGGGCAGATTGGAATACAGTAAGAGAAGCTAGGCATGTCCTAAAATGGTTGGAATCTGAGATGATTGGCTAAACTAGTGGGTCAGGAAGGAGGAGTTAGATTCAGTAAGTTTGCTGTATTTAAAGCAACAGTTGCATGTGGAAATTTCTGCTCTTCATTCCTTTGGGAGCAGAAATACATCCGTAACATGCTAAATTAAAAAAAGGAGTTATCAGGGCTGCCAACCTTACAGTAGAGGTTGAGTGGTAGTATATTACTCCTACACACATAAGAGAAAAAAGAATCAACAGATAGCTGACTAGACTGGGAAAAAAGAGGCAAAAATTATTTTCTGCTTTCCAGCCTGGGTGGCTCATGAAACAATTACAAGTGAAGAGCAAACTTGAGGGACAGGAAAATGGATTCAGATTTGCGCAGACACTGAGTTTGAGATGTCTGCAGATTTAGCCATACCTTCAAAGCCTTAACGGTATGTTAAAGTTAACTTTCAGAAATGTACTAGGTAAGTTTGCTTACTGCTTCAATTTCATATATGCAGAAAACTTGGAATTGGAAATCATGTATGAAAGAACGATATATAAATTCATCTTCTGTACATGCACATATGAAAAAGCAATAGCTGTTAATAAATTGGCTTCATTAGCAGAAGAACTTGCAAAAAGTTAAATGATGATAGTTTTATGTCATCAGATGTTTCAAAGAAACAATCAGTTCTAATTATTTCCATAATTTTCGTTTTTTTCACTCAATTTATAGAATAACGCTTTTGGCAGTTGATTCTTTGAAAAGTGAAATATCTGTATTGTGAATGCTGACATTAATTCATTTCAAAAGTTCCATTATTGAGAGGGAAATTAATTGTGAATACAGTAAGTATGTAAGTACGGCTTTTGGTGGAATGTAACATCATTAAATTAAGAAACTGGTGGAGGAGCAGAACTGTGCTTTTAATTGGTGTGGCCCATACATGATACATATGCGTGCCAAAACAAACTGTGCTAATCTATTGATAAAAACGGAAGCTATAAACATTTGCTTCCAGCCAAGATAGAGTAATGGGGACTGGATTCACTTTTCTTGCAACAAACCGATAACCCCGGCTTTCATTTTATTACGAGAAACTAGAAAACGAGAGCACACTAAACAAAAAGTAAGCAGACGACAGGAAGTAATAAAGATCAGAGTCGAAATTAGTGGAACAGAAAAGAGAAAAAAATGGTAAAAATAAATGAAACTAAGAGCTGTTTATTTGGGAAGATCAATAGAATCACTCTAGCAAGACTGATCAGAAAAAAAAGAGATGTTCCTGTATTTCAGTATAGGACTAAGAGAGGTGACATCACTAAAGATTCTACAATGTTACAAAGATAATAATACTATGGACAACTTTATGGCAATACATTTGACAATTTAGAATGAAATCTACAAATTTCTTTAAAGACACACATTACCAAAGCTCACTTAAGAAATAGATAACCAGTATATGCTCTGTATTTATTAAAGAAATGGAAATAGTAGTTTAAAGTTTTCCCGCAAAGAAATTCTCACCAAGGTGACCTCACTGGTAAATTCTATCAATTATACAATATTATAAATAATGCCAATTCTATGCAAACTCTTCCAAAATAATTGGAGAGGAAGGAATGCTTCCCAATTCATTCTCTGAGGACCAGTGTTATCCTGACACCAAAACCAGACAGATATTACCAGAAAAAATTACAGACCTATATCCTTCATTAACTTAAATGTACAAATTTTAAACCATTTTAGCAAATCGAATTTAATAATTCACTAAGAGAACAATAAATTATGACTAAATGGAATTTATCCCAGAAATTTAGAATTGGTTTAACACTCAAAAATCCTTGTAATACACCATATTACTAAGCCAAAAAACAAAAAACATGATTATGTCAATAGATGGAAAAGGCATTTAACAAAATCTAACATCTATTAAGAATTACGAAGTGTTAGATTTTATCCTGCTTCCCAGCAAGTAAGTTGGCTTGACAGTTTTATAGATGTTAGCAGACAACTTTTGGTTTAGAGATAAGGGTTGTATTACTCAGCATAGTAGGCAGCAGATTCATTTTCACCTTGGTTCCCTTTTCCTCTGAGTTCATGAGGATGGAGGGGGACCCTGGTGGATGCTGCACACATAGTGAGCCTGTGTTACAGCTGAGGAACTCTGAGCTAGAGAATGAATGTTACAATGGGGCTGCTAGCAAACCCGCTCAACTTTTGCCTTTAAGGACACATTATTATCTTGGACAGTAAATCAGTCTTCCCTCTGCCTTGGAGAAAGGCACTATTTCTGTCTTCCAAGTCTGTTTACTGTATGAACATCCTTGAAAAGATAGTTCAGAGCAAAGCTGGTAATTCCTTGCAGATGTACAGAAATAAGAGAAACCTATTGAGAAAATTCTTCCAACAATATTCACCCTTCCTTTCTACACGAAATAGCCGTTCCCTCAGCCCTTCTGCTCAGTATGAACTGACCGACAGGATTGGTATTTGTCTCTTTATAGTGTTTACAGTAAAAAACCAGATGGCTTTCTTGGATTTTTGTATTGACATTTCCTCTTGGCTCAAAGGGTTAATCCAGGGACGGCAGGATGTATTAGAGACTCCACCTTGTTATGCAAGGAGGAAGAGTAATTCCGTCATCTATGACAGCTCTGACCCATGAGTTATGTCAGATTTGAATGACTTTTGGGTCCAACGTGGTGTTTCCTTAACATGAAGGTCGATTATGACTGCTCCTAAGGTACATTTCACCATGTTTTGAAGAGAGAGGGATAATGCCTGGCTTTCACACAAATCTTGGGATGCACATGGTGCCCCTGGAAGCAAGTGCTGCTTACAGTTGTTACAGCCCCCAAAATGAGACCAACTAAATTTAGGGGTACAAGGTAACAGTGCCTGTGATTTAGGGCTCCCACTTGAAATCACTGGGTCTAGTCCTTGTTTAAGGAGAGACTACCTGAGGGCTGTCAATCCAGTTTTTCTTATTTGGTCACATCATCAGCTAAATGGAATTTATCTGTACCATGGAATGACTGAGAGTGGGGTTGTGAAGGACATCTGGGAGTGTTTTTTTGCAGGGTGCAGAAGCTGGGGTCATTCTTGGAGCTTCTGATAGACTTATCGGTAGGAGTAGGGGAATGACAAATTGTCAAAACCATCTGTTGGAAGATAGCATTCAGCATATCTAGCAGTCAGTTATGTTTGACACACTGACAGTAGTTTGGGAGGGCTCCACGAGTGTTTTTCTTGGGGCTCCAGGTTGGTTTTTAAGACAGTTATTTTTGAAATTCGTTTCTGAATCAGAACTACTTTATAGACTGATCAGTATAATACAGATGTTAATAAATAAATATTTCAAAGCGTTTTAATGTTAGCACCCGCTTTTACTTTGGAACAGTGTTCTAGTTTAGATGACAAATCATATGATCATTTTTTTTTTAAAAGACACAGTTCACTTATCCATGACAGTTTTTTTGTTTTTTTTTAAAACCAGCGCAGGTAGTAATGATCTCTCTTACTTCCAAACTTCCAGAACATGTTCTCTGTATGCTTCCTATGTCATTTATGCTCGCTGTACAGTTTTTGCATTGTATATGGTTGTCTCCTACCAGATGGTGACATTTTTAAGTATTGTGGCAATAGTTTATTAATTTCTGTCCTTGCCAGGGCCTAGTACCATGCTTGGCACACAAAAGGTACTTGGCAAATAACGTTTCTGAAACCTTCCCCCACTTCAACTTTTTATTTGATATATATTATTTGGGGAGTCTGTATTCAAAGTGATTCTTTGTGTTTAGTTTTTGATACAATTATATACCACACAAGAATTTTGTCACTTGGATGAAACAAGTATACATGAGGAAAGTGAGGCTCAAATAAATTGTGTTCTTCTCAAGGTTAAGAACTTTACGACAGTTCTGGCATCAGAACATAGGTCTCTGGAATCGTCGCTTATTTCTCTTTCCATTAAACCATGCTGTATTAGATATTTACTATTTTTTCTTGCATGAAGAGATGTGTTTGTGTTTAATGTGAGATTATTTAAATAGTGTCAGTACTTGAAATTCTACCTGTGCAGAAGGCCTTGAGGCACTTCAGTGCACTTTTTCTTTTTTGTTGTGGTATAATATGTAGAATGTTTTAATGTTTGGCCTGTTTTTGGTTGTCATTTGAATTAACCAGTGTTAACAGTTGACTGAGTTCTAATAGAAGTAACCAGTGTTAACAGTTGACTGAGTTCTAATAGAAGTAACCAGTGTTAACAGTTGCATTAACATTCTCCCATGCCCTTCCTGACACTAATAGAAACATAGGTTTACATTTACATGTTTTTTCCCCGATTTGATATATGTGAATGTCTATTATTATTAACTTTTTGCCAGATACTCAGATTTTTTTCTGGTTCTTCTCCAGTACAAACCATGTAGTAACTTTCTTTGTACATGTATCTTTAATATCAGAGTGGGCACTTAAGAGATATTTGCTGAATGGAGCAAACTGAGGCACAGAATGGCGTGAATACTCAGTTACATTGTTCGATTACCCAACTGGTTTTTCTTTTTTAACTACTTTTTTTTGAAGTAGGTAGTCTAAAGGCTTCTCTAGCTTTCGCTTGAAAATAATCTGAAAAATCAAAGTGCCCAGACTTTGGAACCTGATGTGGGTTTTAATTAGTTTTCTGGCACATAGTAGCTGTAGTGAATGAATATAGGCAAGTTGATTAATACCCAAAAACTCTTGCATTAAATTCTTACCTTGCAGGGATTAGAGAAAATACATATAAAGCACTTTACATAGAGGACATAAAATACTTTGGTAAATATGGTTGTTTTTTGGATTGTGATTAATACTGACTAACGGTGGACCCTTAAAGTACGCCAGGCACTGAATTAAATGTATCTCCTACATTATCTCATTAATTCCTCAAAACAGCTCTGTGAGTGTGAGGAATGGAGAGGTTCAATGGTTATATTGCTGTTAAATGTAGGAGCCAAGATTCAAACTCTGGCAGTTTGGAGGCCAAGCTCTTAACCACTACACGATTACTACAGTATACTAGAGCAGAGTTCCTCTACCTTGGTACTGTTGATATTTTGGGCCAGGTACTTCTTTGTAGTCAGAGCTTGTCCTGTGCAGTGTAGGGTATCTATCAGCATCCGTGGCCTCTACGCAATAGATGCTAGTAGCAACCGCCTTACCCCTCACACCAGTAACAATAATGACAATAAAAAAAAGTCTATCATTGCCAAATGTTCCCTGGGGGGCAAAATCACCCTGGTTGAGAACCAGTGTCCTAGAAGAGTATTTGGGAGGGGAGAAGGAGATGTGACTCTGAAGTGTTGAAAATATACACTTGGAATTTAGGATAAGGATCAGAACTAAAGATGTGATTTGAAACTTACTGTTAAGTGGTAGTTACTTACTTTCTTAGGAAAAAAAACGTGTACCGTAAGAAAAAAAATACAGGGCTAATGGCAGAGCTGGACAAATAGAACAGTTGAGTGAAAGCAGTGGATAGAGGAGCCAGAGATTTAGAGAGACAGAAGAAACAGTCACAGAGTGACGAATTTTAAATTATAAATATACTCTCATTGTAAATAATTGGGATCTATTAAAGGAAGTAATTAGATTTGGCTGCGAGCTTTATTCGTTTTACCATTTTGTTTTGTCCTGTCTTGCATTTCCTTTAGTTAGTATTTTATTTCATGTTGAAGGAAAAAATGAATTATTCTATTTTCTGAAGAAAATAATTTATTATTTCAGGTTGCCGAGGAGCCCAGGTTGAAGAAATATGGAGTTTAGAGCCTGAGAATTTTGAAAAATTAAAGTAAGTTTAACTTCAGTTATATTAACAATAATAATCTGTTTATACTTTAGCAAACTTAAAGGATATTCACTTTTTTTAAATTTTACTTGGATTACTCTAGGCTGAATACATTATGTCCTTTAAGTCTCTTCAATCCTGTGAGATAGGTATTATTATTCTCATTTTATAACCAATAACCTGAGGCTGATAGGTAACCTGAAAGGGAGTCAAACCTAAGTCTCCGTAATTCCATATCCACAAAGTACTGGTTGGTTGATTTTACAAAATTCACTTATATATCAATAGTGTTAGAACATGGAACACGTTTTAACATAAAAAGCAAGAATGATAGGTCAATGTACAAAGGCATATTTAATAGATAATATATATTTATAGTAATCCAGAACTTGCCTATGCACTATCACACTGCTTTTGGGAAAGTTATAGTTGAAATTTCGAATGTTGGTGGCAGAAACAACTTTTCTCCTTCCCTCATCTTTCTGGCCAGAATCACCTCTCTTAGCTTCTCCTTACCCCTGACCACCATGCCCTCAGATATTGACCCTGTGTCTTCAAATGGAGGGCTAGAGGAAATTTCACTGGTGGGAGACTTGGAGTCTTGGAATTGGGTCAAGGAATAATCTTAAAAGGGAAAATAGGGACTTGGGGATATGCCAACTGCTGTTGGTAGTAAGAAGGAGATACGTAGTTTGCTTCTTCCCGCCTTTCTCTTTCTGGTAAAAAGAGCAATCACTTTAGGTGAAATGAGATTATTTGTGGCTAAGATCATGGAAGGTTTATTAAAAATGTATCATTTGAACTGTCTTTAAAAAGATAGGAGCCAGGCATGGTGTCAAATGCCTGTAGTTGTAGCTACTCGGGCAACATAGTGAGATCCTGTGTCTAAAATAAAATAACTTTGAATCAAATAAAAAGATAGGAAAGTTTGTTCTATTTTTTTGAAACAGAGTCTCACTCTGTTGCCTAAGCTGGAGTGCTGTGGTGTGATGTTGGCTCACCGCAACCTCTGCCTCTTGGATTCAAGTGATTCTTCTGCTCCAGCCTCCCAAGTAGCTGGGATTACAGGCACCGATCGCCATGCCTGTCCAATTTTTTTTGTTTTGTTTTGTTTTTGTTTTTTTGGTAGAGACGTGGTTTCCCTATGTTTTCCAGGCTGGTCTCGAACTCCTGGCCTCAAGTAATCTGCCTGCCTTGGCCTCCGAAAGTGCTGGAATTACAGATGTGAACCACCATGCCCAGCCCTGAGGACAGGAAATTTTTTTTGTGGAGTGGGAGGCAGTTGTGATAGATAGACTAGAAGGAATTTTAAAGCAGTGATTTAATATTTTGTGCTCAAAAACAGTTCCTTAGGAAAGTGGATGATTTCATTATGTATGAGATGATAGCATCCATTTATATTGCAATATGAGGATTGTTCATGAATCCAATAATATATGAAGGTTATTTCCTATATTTAATACAGGTAATATATGTTATCAGCCATTTATCTGTAAACATCTTACATGAGCTTTATTTATATATTTTGGAGTTCAGCCAGCTTCTAGTTTTACTATGTTCTTATTTTTTAATTGAGGTGATATCAGGTAGAAATGAATAGTCTAGAGATTTGAGAATAAACCTTTCACTATAATTTTATTTTAACTGATATAATCTTAAGTTGTATTAGTGTCTTCCAAGGCAACAGTCTAGTGACTATGAGTGGCAATAGCGATCTTTTAAACATTCTCAGATTTAATTAATTTACTTCATTTGCATTCTATTTGTTAAATAACTGACTAAAGTGTATTGTAAAAGAAGCAGGGTTTGATGTCACTAATATGTATTTTATTTTGTAGGCCAGTTCATGGGTTAATTTTTCTTTTCAAGTGGCAGCCAGGAGAAGAACCAGCGGGCTCTGTGGTTCAGGACTCCCGACTCGACACGATATTTTTTGCTAAGCAGGTATGGTCCTTGGATACTCTGAAAAAGTCTCAAGAGCAGCCCTTTTTATAAACAGGACTCTAGTTTACTATTACTTGCTTCTAGTGCAGTAGTCCTCAAACCCTTACACTCTTAAAAATTATTGACATTCCCACTTAACACTCTTAAAACTTACTGACATCCTGAAAGAGCTTTTGTTTCTGGGATTATCTATCAATATTTGCCATATTAGACATTAAAACTGAAACATCTAATAATGTTTAGGGCAGGTGTGGTGACTTATACCTGTAATCCCAGCACTTTGGGAGGCCATGGCAGGAGGATCCCTTGAGCCCAGGAATTTTTTTTTTTTTTTTTTTTTTTGAGACGGTGTTGCTCTGTTGCCCAGGTTGGAGTGCAATGGTGTGAGGCTCACTGCAACCTCTGCCTCCCGGGTTCAAGCAATTCTCCTGCCTTGGCCTCCCGAGTAGCTGGAATGACAGGCACTTGCTACCACACCCAGCTAATTTTTGTATTTTTAGTAGAGGCAGGGTTTCACCATGTTGGCCAGGCTGGTCTTGAACTCCTGACCTCCAATGATCTGCCTGCCTCAGCCTCCCAAAGTGCTGGGATTACAGACATGAGCCACTGTGCCTGGCTGAGCTCAGGAATTTGACACTAGCCTGGGCAACATGAGGAGACCTGGCTGTATAAAACAAAAACAAGGCCGGGCATGGTAGTTCATGCCTGTAATTCCCAGCACTCTGGGAGGCTGACGCCAGGAGATTACCAGGTTAAAAGAGCTAGACCATTCTGGCCAACATAGTGAAACCCCGTCTCTACTAAAAATACAATAATTAGCTGGGAGTAATGGCAAGCGCCTGTAGTCCCAGCTACTCGGGAGGCTGAGGAAGGAGAATTGCTTGAACCCAGGAGGCAGAGGTTGCAGTGAGCCAAGATGGCGCCACTGCACTCCAGCCTGGTGACAGAGGAAGACTCTGTCTCAAAACAAAACAAAACAAAACAAAAAAATAAATTAGCTACATGGTGGTGGCATGCTTGTGGTCCGAGCTACTGGGGAAACTCAGGTAGGAGGACTGTGTGAACCCAGGCTATGGAGGCTGCAGTGCGCTATGTTCACACTGCTGTGTATTCCAGCCTGGGAGACAGAGCTTGACCCTATCTCAAAAAACTAAAAAGAAAAAAAGAATCTATCAATAAGTTTTGAAGTAATAAACAATAAACTTGTTACATGTTAACATAAATAACATTTTTTAATGAAAAATAACTAGTTACCAAAAAATTAGCTTGAAGACTACATTGTTTTACATTTTTGCAAATGTTTTGAATGTCTGCATTAATAGCATAGCTGGATTCTCCTATCTGCTTCTTCATTCAGTCTGTTGCAGTGTTTTTGTTTTGTTCCGCTTTTGGTTGAAATACATGAAAAAAGTTCCGTCTCACACATATGTGTAGTTGGAAAAGGAGTATTATCTTTTTCAGGTAAATATATCTTTTGACAACATGTCAAAACTTTGAAAGTATTGCTTTCTCATAGGTTAGTTGTAATGTGAAATTTGTACTTTGTTGTGGTAAAATCCTTTGGATTATCTTGCCCTTCAGTGAATCTTTTATTCCTGCATGATTTTGTAACATTGTCTGTTTACTGGTGTATGAATATCTTTTAAGTGTTGATACGTTAGATATGATATCATCTATATTATCAGAGAAGTTACCCATAGCAAACCTTTTAAGCTCACAGTGGCAGATCTAAGTTTTACAAAATTCTAATTTTTAACTTTTCACTTGAAAATTCAAATTTTATCAACAACGACAGATACCATTAGGTGTTTGTTCACAAAGCAACAGGCTGATTTAACTCATTTTTAAGAAAATATCTGCTGTATGTCTTTGTCTGGAAAACCACATTTGTCTCTCATTTGTTCTTTCAAGCAAAAATGATGTTCCAAGGAAAAAACTACCAATTTAGCTTACGAATCACTTGCCGAAATACTTTCTTCAAGATAACTAGCATATCTCAGTATATGACAGTAGTTCTTTATTTGTACTTCCTATTTTATTCCACGGAATATTAAAAACTTGTATTCCAAGGTCAGAATTTGATCAAAATAACTTTTACTGCTTTATCAAAGATGATTTTTAGTAAAACTTGCTTTTTGTTTTGTTTCTTTTTTTAAACTCTTACGTATGTCAGTGAAATAGTTTCATGCTACTGCCTAGATTCATGCTAAAATACTAGCAGTTTTACACACTGTTGCTTTTGTGTCAGCAGGGCAGATGGAAAAGAAGAAAAGGCAATAACTGCCTTAGAATTATAGTGGAAACCATTTTGAGCTCACAGACTCCTTGAAAAGGGTCTTAGGGATTCTTGAAGATCCTTAGATAATACCTTCATTGCGTTTGTTTGAAAATTGCACTTATTTCTGAGACCCAAAAAGTTGCTTAGCATAATCTGATTATCCCTTAGAAAGGTGGGGAATAAAACTGTATTCTCATTACTGCCTTTGAGATAAAGCCTTTACTACTCCGTAACTTGTTTTCCTTTTTCTTTTATTTTATTGCTCCTTTCTGTTTTCCTCTAATTTTTTTGAATTGAGCATTCTTACAGAAATTAGAACTTCTTGCTTTTACTTTAAGGAAAATAGGTATTTTTAATTGTATATTTAAAAATGTGTAATTTTTTAAATAGCGGAACTTAATATTACAGAAATATAAATATAGTCATGAAAGTGAATATCCTTGTAATCCCATACCCATCTCTACTAACCTTTTAACAGTTTGACTCGTCCATTTAATCAACAAGTGATCATTGAGCACCTACTTTGCCAGGCATTGTTTTAGGTACTAGGTATGTAATAGTTAACAAGAGAGGAATGTTCAACAACTATAATAATATTATTAATGCAAGCAGTAACCAACATTTGCTCTTGCTGTGTGCCAGATATTGTAATTTAGATATATTTAATCTTTGCAACAACCCTGTCAGGTGGTTATCTTCATTTCACAGATGAAGAAATTGAGGCCTAGAAAAAGTATTTGCCTGAGATCACACAGATAATGTGTAGTGGATCCAGAACTTAAGTTCAGGTATAAAACCCAGGTTTGTGACTCCATAGGTCATACTTACTTCCACATTATTTTCTATTCATATGCTAACATGTTTTCCGTACAATTTTGTTTGCTAAAATTGGATTATTATGCAGAATATTTTGTTTTTTTCACTTAGTAGTGAAAGTTTGACTTGTTGTTTCATTTGTTTCATTTTAGCACACGTAATAAATATTAACATTTATTGAAGGCTTACTAAGTACTTTTTTTTAGTACTTTTATATATGTTTAAAATTTAAATATATATCAATTACAAATTTATATATAAATTTAGTAATTATTGCTTATATATTATATAAATATATGCATTGTTATATTTAATATTTAAAATTATTAATCTGATTCCCTATAGCAGTCATCTGGTTTGGTAGGTTCCTCATCATTTTATGGATGTGGAAACAGAGTCCTAGAGAGGAGAAGAAACTTGATCATGTTACATAGCTAATCAGTGGCAGCGCTGGCAAACCCAGGCACTGTGGCTCTGCAGTCTGTACTGTTAGCCTTATCACAACACTGCCTCCCTTTGTGTTCTAGGCATAAATACCCTATAATTTAATTAATTAATCTTTGGCAATCAACATTTTGAGTTTCTAATTATTTCTCTAAATAATCTGGTTGGGCACAGTGGCTCATGTTTGTAATCCTAGCACTTTGGAAGGCTGAGGTAGGAGGATTGCTTGAGCCCAGGAGGTTGAAGCTGCAGTGAGCTGTGGTCTTGCCACTGCTCTCCATCCTGGACAGCAGAGCAAGACCTGTCTCAAAAACAAAACCAACAAAAAAAACAAATAGTCCATTTATTTAATATTTGTGTACGTATGTATCATTATACATATAGTAACTGTAATTTTAAATCCACAGTTGTCTGTGAATTTTAAGATCTAGGTAGTAGAGAAAAGCCAGGGGACAGATAAGTTTAAAAGTCTGACAGGTGATTTTTCTCCCTTTTAAAAATGCTTTTGTTTTTTCAATGTATGTAAGCGTATATGCCACTGTAAAAATTTGAGCATTATAGAGCAGATGCTGTAGAAAATAAAAGTGCCTTATAATCTCTGCTTTAGATATAACCATTGAAAACAATTTATATTTTTACAGATATTTTCCATATATGTTGATGTATGTTTGTGTTAGGTTATTCTTGCTTCGCTATAAAAAATACTTGAGACTGGATAATTTATAAAGAAAGGTTTAATTTACCCACAGTTCTGCACTGCAGGCTTCATAGGAAACCTGGTGCCGATCTCTGCTCAGCTTCTTGGGAGGCCTCAGGAAGCTTTTACTCATGGTCGTAGGCAAAGAAGGAACAGACAACTCACATGGCTGAGCTGGAGTGAGCGAGAAAGGGAGAGTGGGGAACACACTTTTAAATGACCAGATTTTGTGTGAGCTCAGAGTAAGAGCTCACTTAACATCAAGGGGATGGACCAAGCCATTCATAAGGGATCCACCCCCATGATCCAAACATCTCCCACCAGGCCTCACCTCCAGCACTAGGGATTACATTTTAACATGAGGTTTCAACAGGGACAAATTTACAAACTGTATTAGTATTTAATTGTGTTTCTTCTACAGTAAACTGTAAACCTCAGCGTTACGGATTTTGTTTTTATATTCAGTCCCTGGCACATGTGGATATCCAGTAAATGCAGACTGCACTGTTCATCTCTAAGAATATTAAAGAGTGCTAGAATTTACTAACACCAGAATACTAATGTTGTCTGATTTATAGAGACCTAGCTATTTTAAGGTACAAGATAGTACTCTATAAAGAAAGAAAAAAATGATAGTAGAGTATGAATTTATAATTTCTGGAGTCCCTTGATATTTCTTAGTTCTGTGTTACGTTTCTCTCTTACTCTAATATTTTATTTGTATTATTCCAGATGTGTCTATGAAAATGTCAGATTAGTGATTCC